GCATGCTGACAAGAAACCTAGTAGAAAAAGGTAATTACTTGGGTTCTAGAGTTTATTTGAAGATAACATCTCTGCAGCGCGCGAAAATAACTCAATAAAGACGTCAAAACAAATAATGACGACCCATGGCCTAAGTGAAATTGTTTGGCATTTTCTGCCATATATATTAAAAATATCCATAATGTGTTATATATTTTTCAGAGTTTAAAGAGTTATTACATAAGGGGATAAAATATAGGTCATTCCATAGGAAAAAAATATATTTTTATCTGTAATATGGTTTTGAATCCCCCTGTATACGTAAACATAACACGAAAAAAAAACTTTTTGTTGAACCCTACAACTTTTATATAAAACTTTTTTGTCTAAAATCTAAAGGAAAAAAGTTAGGGGGGGTGGACATTTATAATGGATCACCCTGTACATGGGCCAGAGAATCGAACAGTTTATTTGGTACCTAAAACAGAATACTTGGCTAAATTGTACTACTTGGTAGGTATTTTACAATTTTTACAAAAGAATTATTTTCTCATATACATATATAATATATATGAGCGATGTGCCACGTCTTTCCGTTATGTGATCGATTCCAGATTTTATAGAAATGATTTTTTCAATAAATGGTACAAATTTACGGGGCGGCGTGAGAAAAAAAATGTCTTTTATTTTTTCATACTATAGTTAAGGTCCACCCTAGTGCCTATTCTATGCATATATGCACGATGACATTATAATATGACAATTATAACAAAAATTCTTTGACGTAAACGTCTTTTTATAGCCCGCGGGCGTTATTATGACCCAGCGGGCTATAATGAAACGTCAAAAATTAAAAACAACAATGCTACACCATTTGATATATTCGAAGTAAGTTTTTTCGTATAAAGATTTTGATTTTTCCGGCAGCAGGCGGCAATTTTTCGCCTTTTCAGCTGCTTCCTCAATTTCATTCATCTTTAAACTTTAAAACTGACTGATGTCAGTTGACATTATAATTGCTGGCATAACTGGTTTTTATGGTCCTACGACGCTTTTCTAGCCCTCGCGCTTAAACACCTTATTATGCCCTTAATACATAAATAACTATTATGAAATATTTTTGACAGTTCTGACACTTCTCCACCAAACATGAAAACTATATAAATTTTAAATTATAAATAAAACTAGCTATACCGCTACTAATCTGGAATTAAAAAAATTAATATATCTTATAAAATATATTTTGATTTTTTTCCCTCAGCATAATGATTTCTGAGGGCAAAATTGGCTAAATTTAAAAATTACCAAATTTCAATCATTTTTTTGATCCCTAAAAGATCATCCTCAATTTTTTTCATTAAAATAAAAAATCATGCAGCGCACTTTTAAATTCATTTTTGGTATTTTCATTTGGATTGACTCATATATGTCAAAGATTAACGGGGACGACTTAGGGTTAGGCTGTCTAGACATTTTAAAAGAATGCACGACACTGTTTTTTTAAATATATAGTTATTTAATAAAACGCGTAGTTAGATAAATCCGCACAGAACACAAAATTAAAAATAATCGTCCCAAACTAATTAAATAATAATTAAAATAATTATTAGTTATAAAAAAGGAAACCAACGATCCGCGACCCGCTAGACCAACAATAGTCAATCAAAAATCAATTTAGAGATCGTATCGTATATCGTATTAGCGTTAGACTTAGTAATAAACACCTAATAAGAAGAAAATGACATTCTCCACATGCGTGGGACTTTTTTAGCCTAAACATCCTAACAAAAAAGAACGGCAAAAGATTTTGAATTGAAATTTTTATAGCAATAATATCATTTAAACTATTTTTCAAAATTATTTTGAACAAAATTCCTCTTCCGCCTTTAACATATATCAACTTTGTTATTTTAAAGGGATCATCACAATTTTTTTTACATTATTATATAAACTTAATAATTTTTGAGTTATTAATTTTTTTTTGTAAAATTCGGTCAGTTTCACCCTCAACAAAAAGAGCTTATAACTTTTTAAATATTAGGTTCGCTGATATTCGGTTGGATTTATTTTAACCCTGATTGTTTTAAAGATTCTATGTAATTTATTTTAATATTTCTAAAAAGATAGGTACTTGATAAAAAACAATGTGAATGTAGCTAACTTAAAACAGCAATAACTTTTTATTCTCAATGGAACGCCCTGTATATTTTTAAATAATTAAATATGAAAATATAATACATTTTCATTGATATAACTATTCCCTATACCTAAAGTTAATAAAAACAATGATATTTCACAACTCCTATTATTTATTATGTATTTCAAATTTTTAAATATTAGTTTTAAATTAATAAACAATACAAGTGGAATCTACAAATTAGTTTCAAAAACTGTATGTAATCATATGACAAGAAAATAATATTAATAATACCAATATTTTTTCGGGTGTTTGTAAATAAAACCACTCTCTAAAAATGAGTTATTCAAAAATTACTAATTTAATAGTTATTAGTGACTGCTTTTTCACTTGTACCATGGTTAACCATGAAATTCCATGGTATCCCAAAATTTACCAGTCAATTCTTATGTAAAATTGTCCCCTTAATCCGAATATGTCATCAAAAGTTAAAAAAGTAGAACAGTTTTTGATATATAGACAATTTTCAAAAACTGCTTCGCTTTAATAATTTTTGACGGTATTTTCGGATTCAGGGGACAATTTTACACAAGAATTGGCTATTAAATTTTAGGGTACCATGATATTCTCTGGTTAACCATGGTACAAGTACAAAAGCAGCCACTAATAACTATTAATTTAGTCATTCTTGACTAATTTATTTTTAGAGAGCAACGAAACAAAAAGTAAATACAGGGTCCGGCATCAGAATTGAACGGTTTTAAAAAGGCTGCTATGGAAATACTATTGATTTGGTATATGTCAAATAATGACAGACTTATACCTTATTGCCGAAGGTTTCGTAATGTCAAACTGGCCGGTTAAGCAACGGATCTTTGCTGTAAATTCGTTTACCCTGACCCAGTCCTTCGTATACAAACGCAGAGACGTTTTCGTCGTGAATATAATTTTCAAGTGCGAGCTGAAGTCTTATAAAAAAATGCCATTTTGAGATGGGTAAGAGATTTTAACGAAAGAGGCAGTGTAAAATCAAAATTTGCCGCTGGAACTCGTACAATTTGTACACAAGAAAATATTGGAATAGTCAGAGAAGCGTTTGAGCGGCACTCGATTGCTCTACACATTTCAGACCAAAGTTTGCGACAAATGTTACATCTGGATTTAAAACTCCATCCAAAAAACCGACAGTCCAGAGGCTAAATCCCATTGATAAAGTCAATCGACTCAATTTCTGCACACAATTTTTAATTGCCATTGTACACGAAACTTTCGGCAATAAGGAACAAGTCTGTCACTATTTGACATATATCAAATCAAGAGTATTTCCATAGCAGAATTTTTAAAACCGTTCAATTCTGTTGCCGGACCCTGTATGAAGGTATGTCTATAAACGGTCTGATTGAACGCCCGATACCTTTATTAAAAGGTATATTATGGTTTACTAATAAGGTTAGAAATACATGTTTTAAATTAACAAAAATTGTTAAAATGGAGTAAAATCACTATTCAAATGTTTTTTCAAAAGTTTTGATGAATTGGTTTATTCTTTATTGACAATATTACAAACTTATTGCCAGAAAATGCAGAAACTTTTTGTATGATGTACCTTTAATTTGATTATCCATTAAGCATAAATATTTTCAACTTCTTTTGAGTAGCTATTTTCCTTTATTTTAATAATAATAAAAATCGGGAAAGTTTTGTTATTTATACCAAATTAATACACATGAGCAACATTTCATCAGTTTTTCTTCATATTATTAGGTTAATTGTAATATCTTACTTTCTTAATATTAACTTTAGGTATATGGAATGGTTATATCAATGAAAATGTATTATATTTTCATATTTAATTATTTAAAAATTTAAAAATATACAGGGCGTTCTCAAAGTTATTGCTGTTTAAGTTAGCTACATTCACATTGTTTTTTACAAGTATCTTTTTAGAAATATTACAATAATTTACATGGAATATTTAAAACAGTGCTTTAGCATTTCAATAAATCCAACCGAATATCAGCAAACCTTATATTAAAAAAGTTATAAGCTTTTTTTGTTGAGGGTGAAACTGACCAAAGTTTACAAAAAAAAATAATAACTCAAAAACTATTAAGTTTAGGTATAGGACATGATATAGCCATTTTATAAGGAATGATGGTAAGAATTTAAAATTGTTAAAAAAATGTGGTGATCCATTTAAAATAACAAAGTTGATATCGCTTCCGTTAAAACCGGAAAAGGAATTTTGTTTAAAATAATTTAGAAAAATAGTTTAAATGATATTATAAGTGCTATAAAAATTTCAATTCGATATCTTTTGCCGTTCTCCATAAACGTCTAACCTACCATACACCCTGTATATATAAATATTTATATTATTTCGTTAAACACAAAAGCCTTATTTGATATTATTATTGTTATAAACGTTTGTTTTCTTTGTGTTTAATAAATACATTAAAAAAAACACAAAAAGTGCTAGGCATTACGCAACCGATTCAAATGATTCAAAACATGTATTTATTTATCAGTAATAATCCCGCTTTCGGTGTTTATACGTTGTTTTGATTATAAATATTGTTTCTTAATTGTTAATAGGTTCAAGTAGTGTTTGAATAAAAGTGTTAATCCTGATAAAGTGACTTTTCTTTATATGAAATAATATAACATTATAACGTCCAAGTTTTAGCAGCATTTTTTTGTATAATCCTGTCATCTTTGTCGTTTTTGTCACTTTGTCAGGCATAATTGCAAAACGATCAATATTTTGACAAGCTTGGCGTCGTTTTGATAAAAATGCGAATATTATTCCAGTTTTTTGTGTTTTGGTGCGATATTTTAGTGCGTGAGTGACATTTTTTTTGTTCCAGACAATTCAATAACAACGATGCATCGCGATGGTGACAGGGAAAGGGCTTTAAAGGTAAAAATTGTGATTTTGCTTGTTTGAGTTATTTTTTAATGTTTTTTTCTTTGTTACAGGTAGGTTCAGTACGGGACTGATTAACTAGGCAATCGGCAACAAAGTAGTAAGTGATTTTTAATTAATTTTAGTAATGAGCATTTTTAAGTGATATTATGTTTTAACTATGGTTTTGCGTACTCTCTAAAAATGAATTAGTCAAAAATTACTAATTTAATAGTTAATAGTGGCTGCTTTTTCACTTGTACCATGGTTAACCATGGAATACCATGGTATCCCAAAATTAAATAGCCAATTCTTATGTAAAATTGTCCCCTGAATCCGAAAATACCGTTAAAAGTTAAAAAAGTATAAAAGTTTTTGAGATATAGTCAATTTCCTATTTAATATGGAATTGACTATATCTCAAAAACTGCTTCACTTTCATAATTTTTGACGGTATTTTCGGATTCAGGGGATAATTTTATATACGAACTGGCAGTTAAGTTTTGGGATACCATGGTATTCCATGTTTAACCATGGTACAAGTGAAAAAGCAGCCACTATTAACTATCAAATTAGTAATTTTTCACTAATTCATTTTTAGAGAGTAAAAAACGAACAAATTTTGATCATTTGTTTGCAAGTGATGCCAGAATTGAATATATTTTTTTAACCTTATTTCTACATTTAAATGGTGCATTTTTTTCAACAAAAAAATTTCTTCCCTTGACCACGGTGGTTTTCAGGCCTTAAGTCACTCTACTGTGTTAAAAATAGATAAATTTCGATATTTTGTGATAACATTTCTATTTAAAAACATATCGATTTAAAATTTAGATAAAATGTAGACCCTATTAATGGCAGTAAATCCACGTATTATTTTTATTTTTATTTTAACATACAGGGAGCGCTGGGGACAATTTAATTTAAAATTTTACCATTTACCAGGGTTAAAAAGTCGAAGAAACAACGTTGTTTTATAATTTTGAGTATATCAAGTTTAAGTACTGATAATTAACTACCTATCATTTGATTTATAAACTTCCACATGCAAATTATGTTTATACGAGAGACATTATTTTTAAGTTAGGCCTTCAAAGGGCATAATACTAACTTTTTTTGTTTAAATTTTGCCAAATGCACGTTAATCAAAAATAGCCTCTAATTTTTTTGTTATTATGTTTGCTGATATGGGGTTGGAGTTTTTGGAATGTTTAAATAATTTAATTTTTTAAAGGTTATTTAACAAATACCTTGACAAAAACGACTTGAAATTACGCAAACTTCAAACAATAATAATGTTTTTATTGTAAAACCCTATATGTTTTAACATAATCAAATAGAAAATTAAAGAATCTTTCGATTGGTATTATAATAACTGTTTCCTAAAGGTAAAATTTCAGAGACATTTAACAATTTCTAATATTTTCAATACTATTTTGTATCAACAAACCTGTGAAATTTTACATGTGGGTTAATGTGACAGTATCCATGGTTATCCAATCTGTCATTGTTTAATAGTATATTATGTATCAAGTTTGATAAACGCCATTTTATACACGAATTTTATTTAGGCACGAGCGAGCTTGCGAGCGAGTTCTTAAATTAATGAGTGTATAGAAAAGTTTATAAACGAGGTGCATACTATACTTTTTCTACGACAAATACTTATTATTATCTTAAAATGATTTAAATCAAAAATTTGTATAGAGCGCCATCTATGAAACAATAGGGGAATCTGTGTTAGGTACGGTCAAATGTCAAATTTTTCTGTGTTATAAAGGTTATAAATCGAAATATTTTCGTTGAAAATCGATTAACAAGAGTTTTTCTCAGTGAAAGTAAAGAAAATGTTTTATAAGCTCTTCACGGTGGAGTCCGAGCTCGAATTTAAGTTATCCAGTTTACTTTCGGCGAAATTAAAAGGTCAGTACAATGTTCATATAAACTTTTCAAATATTGGCGTTGAGAAACTATTTAATGCTTTTGTATTTTTGTATTGCGATAATAAAATAATTTTCACATTTAGAATTATTTTACAAGAAGGGCACTTTATTTTAACGATTGTATGACATTTGACAACTGTCAACTAACTTAAAGCTAACTTCAGCCCGTGACTAAAAACCTGTTGCTAACTTCAGCCCGTGACTAAAACGCAATAAAGCCACAACTTTTCAATGTGTATTTAAAAGGTCACTTAGTGTCATGGAAACATGTACGATAAAGGGCGTTTTAAAGGTGGAAGTAGAAAAAATTAATTAAAATATTTGATTGAAAAATTAATAACTCGTAAAATATTGACTTTAGGTATAGGATATGGTATAGCCAAATGGCTACATAAAATTCTGAGCAAAAATTTAAAAATATATGATGTGTCCTGTTTAAAATAACAAAGTTAAAGACATTTCCGGTAAAATAGGAAGTATTAATTTGTTCAAAATAATTTAGGAAAAAATTCTAAATCGAATAATTTACGCTATTAAAATTGTAAATCGATGTCTTTCGCGATTCCCTAGAAACTTTTAACGGACTACGTACGTGAAACACCCTGTATATTAAAAGTCATTTATGTGTTATGCTATACTTAATTATTAATAAAAGATACAACAATATTTGGATAAAAATTACCAAATGTACTAAACTAAACATTTATGAATACTTGTACTGCTAATTCAAAACTGATCCTGGCCACGGAAACATCATTTGCATAAAAAAGTTAATATATCACATAATAGTAAAATATCAATAATTAACGTGTTATACTCAAATTTATAAAACAAAGTTGCTTCTTCGATTATTTACCCTTTAAAAGTTGTTAAATTTTAAATTAAATTATCACCAGCACGTTAAAATGTGAATTAAAAATTCATTTTTAACACAGTTAAGAAAAAAATAAAAACAAAGTTGTCAATGGACGAGCTTTTTTTTGAAAAAAGTACCTACTGCATTTAGATGTAGAAATAAGGTAAAAAAGTTTCAATCGATTTCTTGAACCCTTGCAAATCGACCGTTAGATCCTTTCGCGAAACCGTAGTTAATACTAAGATATCCAGGCAACACGCATTGGTATATTAAACGTTTTTTTACGTTACCGTTAATATTTTACTACAAGTAAACATTCGAATGTCCGCGAGATAAACGTATATAACCTGTTAAAATTAAACGCGTATTTCTAATATAGGTACACTCAGATAAAGAAAATTTTAATTTAAGTATTTACAGATTGTCAACATAAAAATAATTGTTTTAAATATTTAAATACCTAAACAAAAACAACATAATATTTAAATAAACATTTTAAATTGCCTTAAATTAGATATTTAAATTAACAGTTTAAACTAAAATCAAAGTGTAAAATAGTATTTTTTTGACATTTCTAATATCTGATTAAAATTTTTTAAACAAATAAACAAAAATCCATATAAATTAATTAAGTTTTTTTTTAAATAAGGTATTGGTAAAATTTTTTAAATAAATTTAAAAATTAAAAATTTAAAATAATACTATAATATTATGATTATCTACCTTAACATTTAAATTATTAACAAAGATAAAAAACAGTAAATATTAAGAAATTAAAGACTTATTTCTAAAGAAATTCACTGGCGTTACGGAAATATTTACCCTATTGTAGAGTCGGCGTGCTGCGCAATAAACCCAAAGAACCGTTGGTGTGAAATTTCATTTTATACGCGCTGCACGTGGATGGTCGATTATTGTGAATATATTTTCATATTTCAAATTGGTTTTTAGCATATTATGTTTTTCATTTTAAAAATTTGATTTATTAAATTTTATATTTAAAAAAATCAATTTAAAAATTTAGCTTTGTGGAATTAACTTTTTTAATAATGAAAATTAAAAGAATTAGGTATTTAAATTATCTTATTTAAGTCTTAAAGCAAGTGTATATAATTCATATTTATTTTAATTAAAAAAAACATTAAATGTATTTAAGTAGAGAAAACATTTAATTTGACACAAAAAGTGTTGAATTAAAACTTTATTTCTCTGAGTGTACCTCTATTTCGAAATTTTTTGACAGGATTTAAGAACTCTATTTACATACCATGTTAAAATATCATACTTACTTTATTTACGTTATAATATACTTTGTATTAATTAGGTACTGTCAAAGGGTTTGTTGTTATTGTTGTTTCACGTGAGGTTCGGGTATTTATAGATTGATATGATTGGGAAAGGAAAAGATTAAATAAAACAAAAGAATACTTACTTAGTGGTCGCTTTCTTTACTTATTATAAACCATAATCAAGATGATGGCACTACTAATTTAAGTGTTTTCATAGAAATAATTTAACCGCATGTTTACTTTTTACAACAAATAAAAGCACACGCCACATATATTTAAGTGACTGAGTTTCACAGTCCTCTGTGCTGGTGTCGAAAAAAGCGTCAGCTTTTTTGCGCATCCTAGTGGCATTCATTGTAATTGGATTAAAATTCAAATTTAAAAGTGACTTGGGGCATTCTATGACAGAACTTAATTTTTTATGAAGCTAATTAATTTATTATAATTGTATATTATAATTAATAATTACCATTTTTTATTACCACCAAATTTAATAGCTTCGTAAAAATTTGAGTAGGTAGGTACCTAATTAATACATACATAATGCACCAAACATCAAAGTCCCACCACTTGAAAAATTTTCTTTTTAAAGTGACGTTGACAGATTTTTCGTAAAATACTTTTTTTATAAATTAAACCCGGCGCATCCGCCATTTTTTTGCAAAAACAACAATTTTGAAAATTTTGGCATACATTTCTTACTCTTTTGAAGGTACTCCCAAGGTTTCAAATTTTTAAATTAATTTTTAACATGAGCCCCGACCTCATTAAAAAAATCATAAAAATTTTTTTTGCAGAAAACGATAGCATTGGGTTTTGTCTACCACTCTAAATTATATTTAGATATGTAGCACATCACAAACTTCATTTTTGCGGTATTTTTATGTGAGCATTTTTCTTGATATATCCCTCAAAATTTATACTCTCATTAAAACTGTGGGTGATACAATTGTAGATACAATGTAGAAAATTAAAAATTAATTTTTTAAAAACGTACATTTTTTAAAATTTTGCTTTAATCTCAATGAAATTTTCAGGGAATACTACAAATATGTATTTAATTGGTATGCTAAAAATGAAAAAAAAATGGCGGATGTCCGGGATTTATTTATAAAAACCTCGTTACCTTTTAAAAAGGATTTTACGAAAAATCTTTTAAACTCACTTTAAAAAGAGCAGTTTTCTTGATATATCCTGCAACTATTATAAAACTGTCATTAAAATTGTGGATGATACAATTAATTTTTTGTTTTTCTAAATTAATCATGGAGCATCCGCCATTTTAGCGAAAACAACATTTTTGAAAATTTTATATACCAATTAAATTAAATACATATTCGTATTTGAAAAGTATTGTGAAAAATATAGGTATTTAAAAATATTTCTTTGTTTTACAAGTGTTGAAAAGCGACTTTTTCACGCAAGTGTTTAAGTTGCCGAGTGTGCATTAACACGAGCTTCAAATACAAAACAGAAAAACGCGTTTGACAGCTGTTAAAATTACTTTCATTTTATTCTTTTAATTTTTAAGGTATCAGTTCCTTAAAATCAATAAACTTACCTTCTTAATTTTTTCAAGGCACTAAAAATTAGAATTTAGTATACAAACACAATTAACTGTGTTATAAATGATATTTAGACAAACAAATACAATACAAATTTTGAAACGAATGTCAAACGATGCTGTCAATTTCTTTTTACACAGACCTGTCACTTTTCACACAGAAATGTCACTTTTCATTTGTGTTTTGCCTTGCCAATGAAAAGATTCATTTTCTAAGCAACAATGTTATTACAAAATGTGTCTTTTACATAGTTGTCGTAGAAAAAGTTATTTCACACAGAAATGTCACTTTTCATTTGTGTTTTGCCTTGCCAATGAAAAGATTCATTTTCTAAGCAACAATGTTATTACAAAATGTGACTTTTACATAGTTGTCGTAGAAAAAGTTATTTTTAATTTTTCATATAAAAAAACCGCAAAAATCAAGTTTGTGATAAAAACAACTATATTCACATAGCATGTTGCAAAACACCTCTGTATGCAGATGACACCTTACTTGTTATCTCAAACAAAAGTCGAAATACTCTTGAACAGATGTGTTAATGAATTTAGATGAACTCTTACACTGGTTCAGTGACAACTCAGTGACAATTATATTCAGATTTGTAGCACATCACGAACTTGATTTTTGCGGTATTTTTATGTGAAAAGTTAAAAATATCTTTTTTAAATACCTTTTACTTTTTTACAATTTTGCTTTAATCTTAATAAAATCAAAACACAGATATGTATTTAATTGGTATGTTAAAATTTTAAAAAATGTTGTTTTCGCAAAAAATGGCGGTGCATTGGGATTAATTTAGAAGAGTAAAAATTAATTTTTAATTTTTTTCATAAAAAATTGTATCATCCACAATTTTAATGAGAGTTTTATAAAAGTTGTGGGATACATCAAGAAAAATGGTCTTTTTAAAGTGAAGTTGTCAGATTTTTTGTAAAATAATTTTTTCTTAAGTTATGGGGTTTTTATAAATTAATCCCGGCACATCCGCCATTTCTTGCAAAAAACAACATTTTTGAAAATCTTGGTAAACATTTCTAAAGGTACTCCTAAGTTTCCAACCCAACCCAACCTTTTTTTTTGGAGGGAAAATCCGTCATGGACCCCCGACGCCTGGTTTTCTATCACGTCAGGTAGTGTCGGACTTGTACCGACTAAAACCTCTCCTCTTTTCCCCCGAACCGCCATTAGCATTTAGCATTCAGGGATATACTTTTGGGGACCCTACTGTGGGTACCTTCTTTTTTCCTCAGACTCCTTAATTTTCATTATTTTTTCAAGCATCACCGTCACACTGTTATAGTTTTCCTCGCTTTCCAACCATACTTCCGCAATGTTTTGTTTCAATCACCTCGCTCACTGTGCTTTTATTTCGAATATGCTTCGAACCGGGCACCGACAGACAGCCTGTTTCGCTCTTGGTCCTCATCAGTGTCGGGTAGCCTTGTTGGACCGAAGCACACTCGAAACAAAATCCACCTGCCGCTCTTATAGCAAGAATTGCCACAAACAGCGGTGAACACAGCGAACGAGAGTTCTCAGCGACATCTACAGTGAGCGAGGTGATTGGCATTTTCACATATTGATAGGCACTACTACTTTAGTAGGAAAACCATGCTGATATCATACGCTGGGCGAGCCACCCTACGACAAAAATCTTTTAAGCCAATAACGGAGAATAATTCCGTCTATGTGTTTAATGCAGAGCACAGTTTCTGCTGAACACATAGTTTGGGCTACGTCCTCTGGACGGGCGGGGAAACGCTTTATAAGATGAGTTCTTTGTACTATTCTTTCTTTTTGCTAAATTTTTTTGAATAATGTCGAACAAGTAACAGCATAGTAAGACAACCCACTGTGCACACATAATTATCTGTTTTGATTGGCCGGACGCAAGAAACGGAACGGAAAAGATAAAAGTTGACCAACTCTTTCGTTTCCTTTCCATTAAGTTTGCGTTTACGTTCATTTATAAATAATAGTAGTTGGGTTCGAGTTGGGTTCGAGTTGGGTTCGAGTTGGGTTCGAGTTGGGTTCGAGTTGGGTTCGAGTTGGGTTCGAGTTGGGTTCGAGTTGGGTTCGAGTTGGGTTCGAGTTGGGTTCGAGTTGGGTTCGAGTTGGGTTCGAGTTGGGTTCGAGTTGGGTTCGAGTTGGGTTCGAGTTGGGTTCGAGTTGGGTTCGAGTTGGGTTCGAGTTGGGTTCGAGTTGGGTTCGAGTTGGGTTCGAGTTGGGTTCGAGTTGGGTTCGAGTTGGGTTCGAGTTGGGTTCGAGTTGGGTTCGAGTTGGGTTCGAGTTGGGTTCGAGTTGGGTTCGAGTTGGGTTCGAGTTGGGTTCGAGTTGGGTTCGAGTTGGGTTCGAGTTGGGTTCGAGTTGGGTTCGAGTTGGGTTCGAGTTGGGTTCGAGTTGGGTTCGAGTTGGGTTCGAGTTGGGTTCGAGTTGGGTTCGAGTTGGGTTCGAGTTGGGTTCGAGTTGGGTTCGAGTTGGGTTCGAGTTGGGTTCGAGTTGGGTTCGAGTTGGGTTCGAGTTGGGTTCGAGTTGGGTTCGAGTTGGGTTCGAGTTGGGTTCGAGTTGGGTTCGAGTTGGGTTCGAGTTGGGTTCGAGTTGGGTTCGAGTTGGGTTCGAGTTGGGTTCGAGTTGGGTTCGAGTTGGGTTCGAGTTGGGTTCGAGTTGGGTTGGGTTGGGTTGGGTTGGGTTGGGTTGGGTTGGGAAATAGGCTGGGGTGGTTCAGGTAAGGTATGTTGAAACTTGGAATCTAGAGTAATTTGAGGATGCTGAATCGATTTTTGTGGTCGAGGGGGTTCCATCCCCCCCCCAAGACCCCCTTTACTGATGAGTTTTTTTCGTTTTTTGGCCATAACTTCCTTATATGCCTGGATATGGGGTTTTTTTATTCTTTCAATCGTTTTTATTTCTTTAGCTCTTCAATTTGATCCCCACAAACCTTCTCTATCATTTGGGCATCGAGTGGTAATTTTTTTTTTCCCTGGATATGGGGTTTTTTTATTGCTTCATTCGATAGTACTTTTAAAAAGGATGAAAAAATGTTTTCACGACCTACCCTCTATCATTTGGCCCCGAGTGAAAAATTGATTTTTAATTTTTTTTTTGAAATTTTATCGACCTTGTTTTTTTACGGTCTGAGATCTAAAAGTTTTTATTGCACAAAGCTATAGCCTTGCCTGTCGTTTACAACTTTGTTCTCCTTGTAAAATATCGTATATGGTTGCATTTTTGACTTTTGCGGGATTTTATGAAAATCATTTTTTTCTTTTTAATTTTTTTTTTAAATTTCTTTCAAGTTGTTTTTTTACGGTCTGAGTTCTAAAACTTTTTATTGCACAAAGCTATAGCCTTGCCTGTCGTTTACAACTTTGTTCTCTTTGTAAAATATCGTATATAGTTGCATTTTTGACTTTTGCGGAATTTTATGAAAATGATTTTTCGTTTTTAATTTTTTTTTTGAAATTTCATCGACCTTGTTTTTTTACGGTCTGAAATCTAAAACTTTTTATTGCACAAAGCGATAGCCTTGCCTGTCGTTTACTACTTTGTTCTCTTTGTAAAATATCGTATATAGTTGCATTTTTGACTTTTGCGGAATTTGTTTTGAAAATAATTGTTTTTTTTAAATTTTTTTACAAGTTTTTTTTTCCTTGAATTTTTCACAATTTTTTTTTTGCATTTTTGGGCGTTTCAGGACATTTCCTGAGGGGGTTAGGTTAGGTTAGGTTGCAACCCAACCCTAACTTTTTTGTTTGTTGTCTAAACATAGCGATGTTGGTACTCATTTAACGTGATTTTTTGCGTAGATTAAGAAGGTATTAATAAAAATACGATTTACATTAAAATAAAAAAAATAATGCCTGCTCGCTATATGCATCTACTAATTCTAATTCAGTCCTTTTCGAATAGATGGCCTACTAGTAGATTTTGTTTGTGTAAGTACTTATATTACAAAAATTATAAATAATAAATAATGCAAATACGATAATAAAAAATAGATGGTGAATTTTAAGTAATATATTATTGTATATTCACGCCACAAACAATGGGTATAATTTCTTTGAGTATAACATTTAACTCAAAAATTATTAACATTAGCATGCATTTAAAAACAACAACAAAAATTGCAATCGTAGGTAATAATAATAATCTTCATCTCATCAGCTCTCTAAAATATGTTTTACCTACCTGCCAATATATCCTAGGTATACCTATACGTACATGTAGGTGTATAAACCTGTGTATATAACGACATTCAAAGCATACCAAAGCATACATTCGCAATCATGAATTCTAAGAGAAGTATTGATGAAGTTGAAGGTGAAAATGAAGAAAGAAGCTCGACGAACAACTGGAGTTTTTCGACAGAGGCGACAACCGGGTCCGACGTCGGCTGGATTTCCAGCGACGACGAGGACGAAGAGGACGAATCCAGCAGCAGCAGCGGCGGCGGCGGCGGCGGCGGCGGCGGCGGCGAAGAATCCAGCAACAACTGGAGTTTTTCGACAGAGGCGACAACCGGGTCCGACGTCGGCTGGATTTCCAGCGACGACGAGGACGAAGAAGAAGCGTTGTTGACGCATCAAGAAAAAATGGAAAAATTCAACTTGAAAATTAGAAAAATAAATTGTTTACTGAATTGTCCGCACCCGGCGGAAGTGGAACTTTTGGAGGAACTTGAAAAACACCAAAAGGGACCACGAAAACCCCACTCATCCGTCTCATTTAGAAGAATTATGTGCATGATAAATTGCCCCCCTCCCCGACGGGTATAAAGTATAATCAAATTTTTTTTCGAAATTCGACGACGTTGGAGACAACCGACATACAAAAAAAACCGGTTCTTTTAAGAACCACAAAACTTTTCACAAAGAAAAAGAATAACCAATACCTAATTAATTATTACCGTTAATCCTAACTATCTGTCCTTTTCCCTTATACCACCAATACCACCGTCTTTAAATTATCAAAGTTTTTTTAATTACTTCCTAAACGTTAAATTTAAATTTTTAAAATGAAAAAATAAATATCACAATGTTGACATTAAATTATTATATTATAAAAATATAATAAATCCGTTTAAAATGTAAAAAGGCAGTAGCAGCGCCATTTGTTAGAATTTAATCCTGCACGAATAAAATAAATTTTGTTAACATTTACATCTTAAAATTACTGTTATTTGTTATAGTAGGTAGTTGTGTTCGAAACAACAACAACAACAACAATGATATTAAGGAGTTGCCTACATACAAAAATTTGGTATGCTGCGCGCTCTATCCAAGAATGTCTCAACTAAAATTTGTTTACAATTTTGGAAGCACAATCCCTGCTCGCGATATGCATCTGGTTCAGCTATTCCTAAATAGGTGTCGCCGCCGCCGCCGCCGCCGCCGCCGCTTTCATCTAAATAATTCATTCCTTTCCGAATAGATGGCCTACTAGTAGATTTTCTATTTAAATTTAAAAAACCATTAAAGTAAGTACTTATATTACAAAAATTATAAATAATGAATAATTTGACTATAAACTTTTTCCGAGACATCTACAGGGTGTCTTAAAATTGTTTAAATCTGGTTACTAGTTTACTTTTTGAAATTTTAAAATAAAATATTAAATATTAAAATGTTGATTAATTGAATTAATATATTAATAGATAATATTTGTTGATATTTTTATAAATATTATAAATCCGTTTAAAATGTAAAAAGGCAGTAGCAGCGCCATTTGTTAGAATTTAATCCTGCACGAATAAAATAAATTTTGTTAACATTTACATCTTAAAATTACATTTGTTATGGTAGGTAGTTGTGTGTCCGAAACAACAACAACAACAACAATGATACTAAGGAGTTGCCTACATACAAAAATTTGGTATGCTGCGCGCTCTATCCAAGAATGTCTGAATTAAAATGTGTTTTAAAATCTTTTTTTTTTTAATTTTTTACAAGTTTTTTTTCTTTGAATTTTTTACAATTTTTTTTTGCATTTTTAGGCGTTTCAGGACATTTCCTGAGGGGGTTAGGTTAGGTTAGGTTGGGTTGGGTTAAAACTTTTTTGTTTGTTGTCTAAACATAGCGATGTTGGTACTCATTTTACGTGATTTTTTGAGTAGATTACGAAGATATTAATAAAAATAGTTTTTTTACAAGGTTTTTTTTCTTTGAATTTTTTACAATTTTTTTTGCATTTTTAGGCGTTTCAGGACATTTCCTGAGGGGGTTAGGTAAGGTTAGGTTAGGTTAGGTTGGGTTGGGTTAAAACTTTTTTGTTTGTTGTCTAAACATAGCGATGTTGGTACTCATTTTACGTGATTTTTTGAGTAGATTACGAAGATATTTATAAAAATAAGATTTGGGTTGTGTTGGGTTGGGTTTGGGTTGGTTAGGGTCGGTTCGCTCATTTTTAGCCATTTTAGTTGGGTTTTGCCCCATTTAGCTCAATCTCGCTCCCAATGGGGCGGGGGGGGGGCCAATGGGGCGGGGTCGGTTGGGTTGTGTTGGGTTGGGTTTGGGTTGGTTAGGGTCGGTTCGCTCATTTTAAGCCATTTTAGTTGGGTTTTGCCCCATTTAGCTCAATCTCGCTCCCAATGGGGCGGGGGGGGCAATGGGGCGGGGTCGGTTGGGTTGTGTTGGGTTGGGTTTGGGTTGGGTTGGGTTGGGTTGGGTTGGGTTGGGTTGGGTTTGGGTTGGTTAGGGTCGGTCGCTCATTTTTAGCCATTTTAGTTGGGTTTTGCCCCATTTAGCTCAATCTCGCTCCCAATGGGGCGGGGGGGGGGGCAATGGGGCGGGGTCGGTTGGGTTGGGTTGGGTTGGGTTGGGTTGGGTTGGGTTGGGTTGGGTTGGGTTGGGTTGGGTTGGGTTGGGTTGGGTTGGGTTGGGTTGGGAAATAGGCTGGGGTGGTTCAGGTAAGGTATGTTGAAACTTGGAAATCTAGAGTAATTTGAGGATGCTGAATCGATTTTTGTGGTCGAGGGGGTTCCATCCCCCCCCCAAGACCCCCTTTACTGATGAGTTTTTTTCGTTTTTTGGCCATAACTTCCTTATATGCCTGGATATGGGGTTTTTTTATTCTTTCAATCGTTTTTATTTCTTTAGCTCTTCAATTTGATCCCCACAAACCTTCTCTATCATTTGGGCATCGAGTGGTAATTTTTTTTTTCCCTGGATATGGGGTTTTTTTATTGCTTCATTCGATAGTACTTTTAAAAAGGATGAAAAAATGTTTTCACGACCTACCCTCTATCATTTGGCCCCGAGTGAAAAATTGATTTTTAATTTTTTTTTTGAAATTTTATCGACCTTGTTTTTTTACGGTCTGAGATCTAAAAGTTTTTATTGCACAAAGCTATAGCCTTGCCTGTCGTTTACAACTTTGTTCTCCTTGTAAAATATCGTATATGGTTGCATTTTTGACTTTTGCGGGATTTTATGAAAATCATTTTTTTCTTTTTAATTTTTTTTTTAAATTTCTTTCAAGTTGTTTTTTTACGGTCTGAGTTCTAAAACTTTTTATTGCACAAAGCTATAGCCTTGCCTGTCGTTTACAACTTTGTTCTCTTTGTAAAATATCGTATATAGTTGCATTTTTGACTTTTGCGGAATTTTATGAAAATGATTTTTCGTTTTTAATTTTTTTTTTGAAATTTCATCGACCTTGTTTTTTTACGGTCTGAAATCTAAAACTTTTTATTGCACAAAGCGATAGCCTTGCCTGTCGTTTACTACTTTGTTCTCTTTGTAAAATATCGTATATAGTTGCATTTTTGACTTTTGCGGAATTTGTTTTGAAAATAATTGTTTTTTTTAAATTTTTTTACAAGTTTTTTTTTCCTTGAATTTTTCACAATTTTTTTTTTGCATTTTTGGGCGTTTCAGGACATTTCCTGAGGGGGTTAGGTTAGGTTAGGTTGCAACCCAACCCTAACTTTTTTGTTTGTTGTCTAAACATAGCGATGTTGGTACTCATTTA